ACAATAGGGGTCCTTTCACAGCTTTTCACTGATCAGATGAGGAAACCCGACATTTTGTCACTCTTCTTGTTCATGTTGGTGTACACAAAAGCTGGAAAAGATTCATAGCATGCTCACAAGGAAATGAAAGGTGAAAATAAATGCCATAGTGAAAAGTGAAATCTTGAACCCTGTTTCCAGTATATTTCAGGGATTTTCTTGCACGTTCTGGGAGTAGATAGTGTAGAAACTTTGGGGCACTTATGCGAAACTCTTGTGGAAAGGGAGAAAGGGGGGAATTCAACTGTAATCTTGTGATGAAAATATAATGAAAGATATTATTTAGTCTTCACAGAAAATTTATAGAAATGAGTTCCAGGTGACCCCATTTGATTTGACGGGGAGTCAAAATTTGCATGTGTTCAAAGAGAGATATATATATTTGCATATGTGTTCAAAGAGAAATATAAAAAATATTTGCATATGTGTTCAAAGAGAGATATAAATATTTGTATATATGTTCAAAGAGAGATTTAAAAAAAATATTTGCATATGTGTTCAAAGAGAGATATAAATATTTGCATGTGCTCAAAGAGAGATTTAAAAAATATTTGCATATGTGTTCAAAGAGAGATATAAAAAAATATTTGCATATGTGTTCAAAGAGAGATATAAAAAAATATTTGCATATGTGTTCAAAGAGAGATATAAAAAAATATTTGCATATGTGTTCAAAGAGAGATATAAAAAAATGCTAAAATAGTTAGTCAAGAGCTGTATTTTTTTCCCTTCATTACAACCTTGCTCTCCTTTTTGAAGCTGACTGAATGTGTTACCGAAACTGTTAATAAGTGACCTAACTCTTTATTTTCTATCGTCATTTCTACAAGGTGAATTACTTGTAGGCAACATATAATGTTTTTTGTTGCAATTTGACACAAACAATTGCCATTGTGAGATTACGCTAGTTACAAGTAAGAATTTGTTATCATTTCTTTCTATAGTTTTACTAATTTCCCTTTCCCATAACAATAGGACTTAAAAATCCTGACAATAGATAGGTGATACTTTGAAATAGTTTTTCTGCCACTTCTGTGATATCTCGGGTTAACAGATCAGATTTTCCCCTCAACCAATGAGAAATCTAACTTTCTCCTATCAGCCCTCTCTCTCTGCCCATCTTTACATCACAATGCATGATGGATGGTAACTCTCTCTCTCTCTCAAGAGTGTATGCATCTGGCAACAACCCCTCAGTCCCAACTGATGTAATGGAATAACCTGTCACCCCCATGAGTGACTACACTATAGGTAGTAACTATCTATAAGTATCTGTAAGTCAACAGACTACAGAGACTAGCTGAGATCTGTTGAGTATGACTCAGACTTACACAAGAACTACCGACCTTCCAATAGTAGCACTCACTACTTGATTGACTTGTGACAACCTTGTGCATAACTGTTACCTTTATTCTTATTGTACTGGTTTTTTACAATAAAACTTTACTTATTTTATCCACCTTGTTTTTCAAGTATATATTCCTATTAGTACGGAATATAACACCAACTATGGCTGTCAGTATAAGTCTTCAATGTCCGGTTTGTTGTCACTTGTTCCCAAAAGTTTTCATTTATTTCTCTCTTATTTTATTCTCTTTTGGTCAAGTGGGTGGTTACTTTCGAAAACCCCATTGTAAAACATGAAACACTTAAAACTGAAATAAACTCTCACACCAACCTTTCCTAGGCAGCAGACCTGATCATAGTGTCAATAAAAAAACATGAAAGCTCTTTTCAATATACTAGGTCCTTTATGGTGGTAGGTAAGGGACATTTGGGGAATTTTTGCTGCTACTTCCATCTTTGCTTACAAGAGACTAATGGACTAAATTTTTCCTTTGGCCACTAAGAACTCTTACTGCTTTTCTCAACAGAGAGCTTGTGTCTTGCCTCTGACTTCCAACTCTCTCCTACTGCTCATCTACTCATCTCAATGGACAGCTTTCACTAGAGCTTTATCTAGAACTAGCAGAGTTACCCAGCGATGCCTGGGATTTAAAAAGTTAAAAATAAATCTATAACAACAATATAACTTCAAATTCATTAATTCAAACACAAAATATGTTTAAACAGTTTTTACATTACAATATTTCTTTGTGGAGAATATTCTTTGTCTTTCTTTGTGGAGCATAAACAAACAAATTGGCTTTACTTCCCACATGTGAACAACCAACATACAACTGCCCATGAGAGAAACAGGGTTCTTCTAACTGTAGTCCAGTAACTGATAGTCTGGTCATGTACTTTGTTAATTGATATAGCAAAACTTACTTGTTATCCATTTTTATGAATAAATGGTCTTTTTTAAGTTTTTTGTTCAAGTGTATTTTATAAGCTTATAGTGATCCCCACTAATTTTCTGAAAAATGGCATACTTATAGTTTAAAATTAATTAAAAATATAAAAAAAATTGATCTTGAAGCTTTCTTTTTAGCTTTAATTCAAAGGAAAAGGAATAAATTTACTATACTCAGTAAGCAAAATACTTTGGTGTATTTAAAACAGAATTTATATTGATTCCGTTAGCATGGCAGATGCTAACCTCCAGGAGAGCAACTCTTTGCACCTTCCTGTGTTCACATTTTCCACTGACATGAAGTAGACTGATTATATTGAATCAATTGCAAAATCTGCTGTTAGGAAAGTTGGTTCACTGTGTTGTTCCAGACAAATTTTCTCTCCAGAATCTATCTCTTGCATATTTATAAGTCACCCCATGCAAGGTAGTAAAGCCTCTAAGACACAAGGGTTTACTGAGTAAAAATAAAAGCATTAAGGAGCAAAAACAGTAGAATAGTAGTGAAGTGAGATGATAATGATTGATATTGCTTTTAAGATTTTGAAGATTGAAGTTGGCTGGAAAGCATAGAGCCAGAAGAGAGTGAGAAGTACTAATGAAGAAACTGTTATCATAGAACTTACAATTACATCTAGTGGCCATTTCAACTGTGACTTGATGAGACCTTGCTGCCAATCTAGTACTGTGCTTAAATTCATAAAGTCTAGGTATCATAGCGGAGAGTTCATCTGGACAGTTTCCATGAAAGTATTTATAGAAAAGGCACAGGGAAAGTGACTGAAGCTGAAATGCCAGGTCAGGACCAATAATATTGCTGGTTCTTTGGATTTTGTCTGGAATCTCGAGATATATAACAGGAGCACCGGACCAGATGTGGCAGCAATATTCAAAGCATGGATGAATGGTAGACTTATAAATATACAAGATAGATTCTGGAGAAAAAAATTGTCTTGAACAACACAATGAACCTACTTTCTTAGCAGCAGACCTAGCAATGGATTCAATATGGTCTTTTCACTTCATATCAGCCAAGAATGTTAGACTGAGAGGGTGCAACAGGTCACTCTCATGGAGGTTAGCATCAGCCATGATAATGGGAGGCAGGGGAAGGGAGTCTTTAAATTTTATGCATTAATCAAAATAATTGAATTTTAGTCATATTCACTGATATTTACTAAGATTAGCTTAGTATGGCAAAAAGCAAAGTTAGAGGTGAGGTGGAGAAAGATTGTGTTGAATCAATCCTGTAAATGGAGAAATTTTGTCTGCTTTGAAAATCAGTGTTCAAAATCCTACATTTTTATTTGGGCTTGAACACTGTCTTACTAGTACTGTTAGAAAATATTCAACTCTCTCAGCCAAAAGGAAGACCTGACACATTTTCTCTTTATGTCATATCTCTTCAAGTCATGAGCAATCATGGTTCTCCACAGTTTCCTGCTTTTTGTTGTTCTTAACAATATTTTCTCCTTTATGGTCCTGTTTTATCTTTGTGTACTTGTTTCTCCCATCCACTTGCACAAACATATCTTGCTACTTTCCCCTGTTACTTTAGACTTCAATGTGCCCTGTGAGTATTAAATTCTCTGAGCCACCTTTGCTCATTAGGACCCCCCCCCCCAAATCTTTTGCTAAATTTTTCTTTGTAGCTCTTATTCTTTATAAACTCATTTGCATTAGTTATTGATATTTGAAAATTTTAAACTAATTTTCAAATATAGATTATTTGTATTAGACATATAATATTCTGTCAGTAATGCTTGCTTTTATTCCTGACCACTAACAATCCCTTTCTTCCTGATTTTCAGGGCACAGCACATAGACTGGGTTTATAAATTGCCAAACTTTATTGTTAATCACCAAATTTTTCCTTCCGCAATAAATCTTTAGTGAAGAAAATAACTAAAGATGAGTGGAGGAGTAGTTGTAAAGTCAGTGGATCACAATAAAAGAAGTTTCAAATCTTGCTTATATATTCCAGGTTTAAATGCAGTCATTATTTCAACCATGATTATTGTTCCAATTTTTAGCCGAATTGTAGTTTATATTGCAACTATGCCATGAGTACTTTTGTTACAGATCCCGGGAAAAAGTGTGCAACATGGTGTGATCAGTAGTCAAACAAGTCAGTCAGTTATGTGCCATGATGAGACATGCGTAGGCAATCAATCATGTATCGAAAGATACATGACTGACGAGGCATTTTTTTTTCTTTGAAGCAGGTTGCCATTTCTTTCTGTGGTAGACCAGTTGCCATTTAAGTCTATAGAACCAGGTCTGTCCTGCTATTTACCCATAGCTGTGTGGAGAAGAGGAGGATTCATACCTTTCCCAAGGGTATTAACATGTAAGTGAATGTAATGGATTCAACTGGAATTTGAACAAGGCCAGTACAAAAAAAAACCCTTGGTCATGACGAGTTGTGACTTCATGCTAGTACAACCACTGACAATGATTAAAATGAATTAAAATTTTGTCATATTTTTTAAATAAAATTCCTATTCATTTTCTCATGCAATGCATAAACAACAATTTAAAACATAATAAAAAAATTATGCAGCCAATTTATAGAAAAATATTTCTGTTTTGTGTATTTCAGAATTACTTGCCACAAATAATAAAATGTCTAACTAAATAATTGGTTTTCTTTTTATTCTCTCAGGGGAATTTGTAAAACGTTTGATCGCCTGTCCTTATTGTGAAGAACTTGTGTTTACAGGAGAATGGCTATGCCCAAAAGAGCTACAAAATATGGCTTCTCAGATCTGTTTGAGTTGTCAGAGAGATGTTGCCACTTACTTTCTGATTCAACCAAAAGAACAAACAAGAGGTATGAAAATCTAATGAACTGACAATTAAAATATTTATCAAAAAGTTAAGCTTTGACTAAAGTAACCTGAAATAATTTTCTAAGAATATCTAAGAAGACGAGATTTAATTCTATGAGTACAGCTCATAGATAGCATTTTCTGAGTACAGCTCATAAACAGCACTGTCTTTAAATGATATTGTCTGAGCACAGCTCATAAATAATATTGCCAAAGTACAGCTCATAAATATACTTATGAAAATAGAGGGAAATTGACCAAGGAATTATTGAACGTCAACACCAATAATATCAAAAGCTTGGCAAGATATCTAGGGAGAGGATTGGATCAGTGGGCAAAACTAGCTTTCGTGATGGGCTTCCAGGACAATGTATCTGTGGTATTGCAACAAGTGCCTAGTGTAGAAAATATGCACCTCTACAAGATGATACCAGCTGCAAGGCACTTGGTCAGCAAAAGATTTTGAGTGCCCAGAACAGTGGCAGTGATTGCACAAAGCATGAAATCAAAAGAAAACAATAGTCATATAGGTTCATTGAGGATTAGGTGCTATAGATTTGGGGATCGCACCTAATTAGAGAGTGTAAGCCACTGATTCATACATTGATGATAGATGTAACAAAGGTATCAATGGAGGAAGTGGTGGATTATCTTAAGGAATTTGGATTGACAGCAAAGCCACTTGAACCCTTAGAAAGAAAAACGAAAAGTGGATGAACTGGTGTTTGGAAGGGGCAAGGAGATCCCACAGGAGACAAGAGAGATGAGTAAGCAGGAATTGTTATCTGTCTGTGGAAAGCTGTTGGGGCACTACCCTGTAGCTGTGACTGAAATGCAACAATGTGAAAAGAAGAGCAAGGGGGATAGACTGGGAATGTAAAGTCGATGATGAAACTGTTGCTGTGATGCAGGAGATCTTAGCTGAGGTAAAGAGGACCCCATGATCGTGACTTAGCGCATCCCTAAAGTGAAAACAGGAATAGTGTGGTGTGATGCTAGCAGTATTGCTACAGGCATAGTCATAGAGATCAGTGGTTTGGTGGTGGAAGATGCACCATGGCTGAGAAAAAAGGATGACTATAACCATATTAATGTGGCTGAATTTGATGCCATGCTAAAAAGCGTTAATTTGTCTCTAAAGTGGGGCTTAAGAGAAGTGGAAATAAGGACTGATTCAGTCACAGTACTAAATTGGGTGAACTCTACTGAAGAGGAGAGTTGGAAAATATGAACAAAAGGTGCTGGAGAAATGATAGTGAAGTAGAGATTAGGAATACTGGGAAAGTTGATATCTGAATTTGGATTATGAATGAAAGCAGTGTTTGTGTCTTTGGAAAGAAATAAGTTGGATACATTAGCTTGAAACAAAAAGTAATTGGCCATCAATGGGGAGGAAGAGGCTCTAGTATGCTGTGTAGGGACCAGAGAACTAAAAGAGTTGCATAATATGCATCATATGGGAGTGGACAGGACTCTATATTTGGTGCAAAAAGTTGACCCACTCATAAAAAGGGAGGAAGACCAGTAGGTGGTCATGAACTGCATCAGATGTCAATTGATTGACCTTGGTGAGATTGGAATGACAAATAATTGGACGACATTAACTGTCGATATAACACATTCTCACGGGGGGGGGGGTACCTGTCAAAGATTGACTATGGACTTGGGTGCCTGGCAATATCAAGGTAATTGCATGTGAAAGCAGCAGCCGTGGTTGCAGAAGAACTGGAGAAGGTGATTCTTGAATAAGGTCTAGTAGTGTAGGTGGTAATAGACAATGGCATTGTTTTCCATTTGGAACTCCTTCAAGTGATGCTTGAAAAATGGAAAATAAGAAGGCAGTACAGAGCAGGTGTACAAGCCGCTGGGGGGGGAATGGAATAGTGGAGTAACACCATTGGACCATGAAAGCAATAGCCAAGAGAGGAGGGATATCACCTGTCGAAGCAACATTTTTGTACATGGCACCTAAAGTCAGACAGAAAGAAGACAGTACCACAATATCAATTTTCACGTGAAAGATATATTTCCGAATACCAATAAAGAAGTGCCCAACAGAATCTAAATAGTGGAAGAGGTTTTGGTGAAGCCACCAAACACATGGTGTACTATGCAATGTGGTGAGGGGTGGTGGCTGGAGTACAATCACTTAACAACCTGACTATTGATTATCTGTCTATATTACCGAGATGAGGTATTATGTACATTATTTACATTATTCGGACTATTGTCCTCATCTTTGTTGCCATATTTATTACAACGTTTTGGCCGTTGTATTCTCCGGCCTTCTTCAGGTGGTTGGAATGTCGAACTTAACCCTTTATTTCACTCACTGGTGTAGACTGTTCTAGTTCCACGTGCCATGTTTTAATGGATGTCAGTTGATGGTATGCCATGGCATATTTTGGATTTAAAGTGAGTAGTGAATAGTGCAGACGATAAGAACGTGAATGCTGAACATGAAGGAGATAGAAATGAATCAGCAACAACACAAAGACTGCAAAGCACCGACCTGGGTATGCAACTATGTTGTGTCAAATGCTCTTTTAGGATTATGGGGGCCTGTAGTTTGAATGAAGGAAGAAAAGAGAATTGAATGTCACTTGCCTTATGGTGGGGAGAGAAAGAATCTGCAACAGGCTGTGATTTCTTTTATAGAAAGCTATTGTAGGAAGAGAGTATTATGGGATGGAAGAAAAGCTATAAAGTTCCTCCAAAAATAGGAGTTACTGTCTTTTTTCTTGTTCATGTCATACGAGAAAGGTTGCAAGAAAGGAGGAAGCTTATTATTACAGTAGAACCTCATTATCTGTAATAGATAGTGGTTAGCTGAATATTGAAGAAGACATGAATAATGTTTAACCATACATACTAAGTATGTCCAAATTTTATTCACCAGGAAACTGATAGCACATTTCAAAAAATGCAATTTTCTTGCTTTCTCAGACATGTTTCATTGGAACACATTTTCTATTCCTGTTTAGGTGAAGTGGGAAAAGCTCAGATTAATAATTATCTGATGACCCAGAATTTGATGACTTCAAGGACATTTAAATGATATTTTCAAAATACTACTATTATTACTACTACTACTAGTAAAGACTTGCATCTTTTTCATTTATATTTTTCTCTTTTGAAATATATTTTGCAAACCATTTTTAGTTTAATAAATATTTGGATATGAAAGATGAAAGTTTGTTGGTTGGGCTAATCAAAAATAAGTGAAACTCTGGCTGGTAAGGTCCTTATGGTTAGCAATTCAATGAATGGCAAGGCACTTGTGCTTACTGATTCCATGCATAGTGAGGTCCTTGCTCTTGGCAATTTTATATATGCTGAGCTCACTTTGCAATAATACTTAGGTTGTCTAACATGATATTTTTATTAACTACAAAAATAAACATTTTGCATGTATTGATCTAAAAATAATACAAAGATGCTTATCTCACAGGCCATAGTGAGGGAGTATGATCCTTTTTGGGACCCACACAATAGTTTTTTCATTATTTTAATTCATGTCTGATGATCTTGATAATATATTTTAAGAGATCTTGTTCTTTAAATTACTTTTCTTTCACTTTTCAGCTGACCTTATTAGACAACGACTGAAAGAATTGCACAAAATAAAAATGTAAGTAAACAATATGAATGTTTCTTATGTTTATATTTATTCATCAATCTCTTGATATAGTGCGGACATAAGAGGTTCTTATCATTCCAAAAGTTATTTGGAAAACTGATTTTGTATTGGGTCCCTGTTACGTCCTGAGCGATGAGGTGGACTCGCCCACATGTATAAATGTGAGTACAGAACGTGGGACTAGGAGAAACATCAAAAGCTGTATTTAGCAGTCATCTGAGAGTATATAGTAATAATCTGTAGCTGGACTTATGCCAAGAGAGTGGACTGAACTCAACTAAGTAATAGACATACTACAAGTGTCCTGAGAAAAATAAAATATAAAATTAAAATATATAAACAAAAAAAATTAAAATAAGGCATTTGTGCTTTCCTTTAAAACCCTTATCTCTTTCTATACTTCTCTCTCTCTCTCTCTCTTTCTATACTTCTCTCTCTCTCTCTCTCTCTCTCTAAACTTCTCTTTCTATACTTCTCTCTCAACTAACAAGAAGGCAACCCTCAAATAAAAAATAGAAGAAAAGACTGAACCTGAACAAAAAATGCCATAAATTTGCAAGAATAAAGCCTACTAATTTATGACTGACAACAAAAATCATGTAGGCTCCACACATAACTTCTGTTATAAAAAAAAAATGAAAGGAATGCTGGAAAATAAAATAAGTTTGGCCAATCAAAAAAAAAATTAACACAAAAATCTTTTGATATTAACCAAAAACCATTGTTCCTGCCAAAATCTCAGAGCCTGACCAAAAGTATATAAGCTGACACCTCTGAGCTAGAAGCAGAAAGGATGGTGAAAGTGATGAACAGAGACACAACCTCAGTGAAACCAGCCATACATGATAAGTGAAGAAGTAAAGAAGTCATCTGCTAATATTTCTGACCTGCTTAGGGCTGAGAAAAACACAGGTTGACACTGACCTATTTCTAGTATTACTACAACCCCTATCATGGTTTGACTTCAAAACTGCTACAAGATATTTCTTCAGACTGCTACCAATATCAGGCTTATAAATAAACATTTTTTACTACACTGAATACCAAAGGACTCACTCTAAAGAAAATAAATAAAAATATTTATTTTATATCCTTGAGTTAGTTTGTTTTATTCCAAAGTTTCCAGTAAAGAAAATCTTACCACTCTCCAAAATTTCATTCGTTTTTGTTGTTTTTGTTAGTCACAACTCTTCTAAACCTGTTAAGGAAGTTTTAATCCTTATGAAAAAAGGGGATGAGAGTTATTTTTTTCTCAATATTTATTTGCTGTTCTAAGAATATGATTTGTCTATAATTCCATGTTAGAAGAATGCATACAAGGTCTGTCAAGAATGTACCTTGGCTTTTTATAAATTAATGGACGAAGTAGAATGGTGTTTTAATCCCTTTCAAAATACTTTCTGTGATACCTCAAAAAAGTTTAACCCTTCCACATTTCAAAACAGACAACAATGTCTGCAAGTGTGGCAAGTGCACATCAGTACAGATGCAAAAGTGAACATGTTTGTCAATACCAGTTACATCCAGGTTTTTCCATTAACAGCAGGACAGCTTGGCATGTCTAGATACAGGCCTCTCTGCAACTGGTCAAGATTTAAGTCTTTGTAAGATGCCCCATGCCACTAAAAGCAGGGAGTAAACTAGCAGTCTGCAAGACATGGTGTCCCATGGGTATTTTGTTCCTAAAGTTGCTGTGGATTCCAAAGCAGTGTTATTTTTGTTACCTCCCTTCACTTTCCTCTCTCTACCTATTACGCCTGTAGTTTTTGGGAGAGCAATCGGTTAGGTGTTTCCCCCCAACCTCAACACACTCTTGCTGTATATTACAACATTCTGCTTTCATGATTACTATCAATTGCCTTCTTCTTATCATCTCTGGTGATTTCAGCTGAGGGAAAAGAAATTTGAACTGTAGGAGAGATGATAAGCATTGGGGATATGATGTTGTGGCGGACATGAGACAGAACCTGGGACGAGCACAACTAGTCGCGACTTGCCTTGTCCCCGCCAAAAAAGGGCCCGTATTTGCTTAGCATGTAAAGCTACTGCAGTTGAAATGAGGGAGAGAAAAAAAAGCACTTACCGCTCTGCCGTAATCCATCCTCGGCCAGATAACATAAAAGAATGAGGGGGGACTGGCATCGCATTTTTATCCAATAAGGACGCAATGCATTATGGGACATGGACGCAATGAATTATGGGATCACAGGAAGATGCAAGGGATTATGGGTACATGAACAACTATAAAAACAACTACTTTTTTCCAAGTCGGCGAGTTCTTCGAGGGACGGGTGTTGTTTTGAACGACCAGGGTTGGACTGGGTTTTTTGGACTTCTGTTTTGTTTGCTTTTGGGATTTTTTTGTGTACTGCTGGTCAGCGAAAAATTTGATTTACTTGACGACTTGGAAGAACCTTTTTTTTGAAACACCGGACGTTTGCCTGATAAGTTATTGTTTTAGTTTCATTCTTTTTTTATTTTTCTATTTCTTTTGTTTGTTTTAATTTTGTTTTTGGGCTTCGCCCACATTTTTTTTTTTTTAGTCCGGTTTGACAAAGTCTTACCGGACGACTGCTTTTTTATTTTTTGTTTATTTTTCTATCAGTTTTAAAAAAGCGGAACAGTTTAGACAAGAAAAAAAAAAAAGAACCTTTTTGTTTAATTTTTTTATTTTTTTTAGCGACTTCAGTCGCTTTCTTTCTCCTTTTTTGTTACGTTTGACTAGTTTATTTTTCTTTTAATTCATTTTTTCTTTAGCGTCATACGCAAAACTTTATCCTTTTTATTCTTTTTTTTAGTACATTTGAAAGTTTTTGTGAAAAAGAGGGAAGTTTTTGGTTTTCTTTTATTTTCGGCTGCCTTCGGCGCCATTTTTTATCTTTTTTTTTTGTTTGTTTAAAAAAGACTTACCTGTTTATTTTCTTTCCGGTTTTTTTTCTGTTTATCATTTTTATTTCCTGGGTTATCCAGGCTTTCTTTATTTTTTTTTATTTTTATTTTCCCCAACTCCCCTCCCGTGATTGTGAAGAATTTGAAAACCGCAGGTAGTAGTTTCCACATTTTTTTTTACAACATGGCCGGCAATAGTCAGGCCAATGTGAAAAAGACCTGTTTGGTTAAGCAAATAAAAGCCGACCACTCTGAGAAGAAAACTGAAAAGCGGGCTGATGGAAGCCCAAAAACAGACAAGAGCATCTCCAAAAAGGAGATGCTTCTAAATAGACCAAGTGCCTAAAGAGACGCAAAATAAGACGAAAGAGGAGTTGCCCTCTTGCTGGAAGTCCCCCCCCTAGTTGTATTCTGAACATGGCGGATTTCCTGGATAAGGCGAAAAGTTACGCCCATCTTGTTAATAAAGATGGGTTCGATGATGTCCGGGAAACTCGATATGTTCTCAGAGAATGGTGACCGTTTTTTGTGGTCGACAAAAAACCGAAAGATTTGTCGCCCACAAAAGACACTGTGATCAAATCACTTTTGTCCCTGGGGATAAAACCCCAAAGAGTTATTAAAGGTGCGGGTTTTTCATGTGGGACATTCTGCTGCCCACACCGGAAGATTGCCTGGCCATGGCCAAAAAGAATTAATCACGAAGGATTTTATAATAAGAACCGAATATGAAGGCCGCAGGCGGACCAGGGTGGCCGTTTTCGAGGTTCCTCCTCAAATTTCGGAGAGCTCCTGGCTGCATTTTTTTATGCAGTACGGCCAGATTTTAGGGCTCTCTCCGACAATCTGAACAGGATGGACTTTTCGATATTATGCTTGACCAGAACGCCTTCAAGTCCGTCCCCAACTGTTTGGTGTTAGGCGACCGGAAAATGCCGGTCATAGTGACTGGTAGGCGTCCGACTTGCTGGAGGTGTGGAGAGACTGGTCACCTTTCCTCCTCCTGCCCAGGGAAGAAGGCCCCTGGAGTTCCGGTCGCAGGTGACCAAAATCCCCCTTGGCCGATAAGGAAAAATCCATGGCGCCTGTAATGGGCCTAGCTGCGAGGCGGACCCGATGGGCAAAGTCCCTCGGTTGGGTCCCAACCCTCATTACCCCCAAGACTAACGCCTGCCACAAGTGTGGATAAGGAGAAGGACGAGGGAATGGCGCCTAAATGAAAGGGGGCAAGGAAAGACAAACAGCGGTTCCTCAGTCCCAACATGACACCAGGGACAAAGTCACCTACAGCCCCATTCCCTCTGTCAGCTCTGAGGGCGACGCCTCCAAGGTCCTATGAAAAAAAAACGCCAATATACCCAAAAAGCTAATGAGCCGAGCTGGAAAAAGATCCTAGATTTAAAAAGTTAAAAGAACAGTTGGATGCTAAGCGGGATAAAACCAAAAATCGCTGGGGGCACCGCCCCTCTACTCTCTGCCCCGTCTTCCCCTACTTCATCCAAGAAAAACCTTTGTGAAACCTCCTCCACCTAAATCTCTGTCGAACTCTCCGACAAATCTTTCTACTCATCAAAACCTTCACCTGTGAGGACGCCTTCGGGCATGACACCCCTCTACTACTCCAAACATCACACCCATCTCAACTCCTATCCAGTCTCCACAAAAGAAAAGGGTAAGGAGCCCAGATTCGCAAGTTGTCACAGAAAAAAAGAAAAAAAAATCAAGCCACCATATCTCACAGGGGAAGACGTCTGCCGCGTATCCCGGAGCAGGCGGAAAGGGTCTTCGGTCAAACGAAGAACCCAAGCCTTGAAAGTCTTGGAATTTCCGCACATCAAGGGGTGTGGATGTGGAGGTGCCGGAAAAATTTCCACAAGGCAAAAACCAACTTACCGTCATAAGAACTGGCCCGCACGCAGGAGATCTGGGGCATGGTAGAGGAGGCAAAATCATCCTTGAAAGTGGTGCCCCAGCTGTCGTCCTTCTTGAGGAAAATTTGGATGAAAACAAAATTGTAAAGGGAGGGTCCCTGTTTATGTTCACCCATCCCTATATAGAGCCCTTAAATTAACCTATCCTCATGGACATCGGCGGCTTGTCCC